ATCTTATATACGATACCACTAGCGGACGACTATCAGCATCCACCTTCTGCTTTGTAGTAGTAAAGGAAGATTTTGAACCCCAAAACCAAATGAATAGTAAATTAGCAACGTTCAACGTAGGCAGCCAATTCTCAACATCTTAATCCTGTTGCTAAGGGGGCACCTAAACCCCATGAACTGAAGTAAGGGTGGGACTCTGACCGTACTTCCCGAGAGTAGACAACTCACAAAATTCCCCTCCGTAACCTAACTAGGACATGAGCACGGAACCTGTAGCTTCTCTTTCTCCTTCTGACCAACCCAGCCGTTGCTATCCGGTAGGCCTTTCTACTTGTTTAGCGTTCTTCCCCTTTGTATTCGTTGAACCTTTGCTATCTTTCTTTCCTATCCGGAAGACTCACTCAATCACCTCCAACGCCCGCTCAGTCAAGGGGTAGGAAGACCTCCCTTCACGGAGAAAAACCACCCGGGCACCCGTTCTACTAGCAATCGTTGCTCTAAGAAACTTCTTCTTCTGCCCTTCCTTGAATTCAAAGCTGCGGATAGCCCCTGTGGGAGTCGAACCCACCGACTAGGTTTCTACCTTGTTTTACCCCGACTAAGGAACCATAAGCCCCAACTTGAAAATTCTTCCTCAATTAGTTAAAAGGCTGAAATTGGCTGATATTATGACGATACTAGGTAGCATAGATATCATTATGGGAGAAGTTGATCGTTGAAATGATAATTGATACAACAGAAATAGAAGCTATCTATTCTTTTTCAAAATTTGAATCCTTAAAAGTTAAAAGAAGGATATGAAATTATATGGATGCTTGTTCCTATTTTCATTCTTGTGTTAGGAATCACACTGGGTGTACTAGTAATTGTTTGGTTAGAAAGAGAAATATCTGCGGTAATGACTCCATCAACGGTTACGAGAACAGTAAGAGCGGCTTCGGTTTGCTTTCTAATAAGGAAAATACATCTCATGCCATCCTGTGAGCAATCTTCTTTTTTCCTTTGCTGTCGGTACATGGGAGATATCTTGAATCGGATCTCATTCTTCTTCGCCTAAGGAAAGAACTAAAAGATGATAGCATTTCTGGGGGAATAGAATCATATTCAGTGGATGCCTAAGGTTCACTCACTTTAAGCTTGAAAGTCTCAGGCTAGATCACGCTAAGGAGCGAATGGATAGAAACTTTACTTGTCCTTTCCAGTATGCCGAATAGAGTGGAGCTTTTCCCCAATCCAGCAGCTCCTTACTCTCTATTGCTTATAACCGGCCTTCTTTTCTATCTAAATCCCTGCTTTTGCTAACGTTCATTGATCAACTGCCGCAACTAGTCTTGATCGATCCAACCCGGTATAATATGATATGTCCAATCAAATCAATCTTCTTTCAGATCCTTCTATATTTATCTTGTTCCGTGTCCGAAGGTTCCCGTAACAGTAGCTGGTAGTCGGTGGATGCGCTAATGTAATGGTAGGTGCGTGAATAATAATCTTTGTTGGTGGGGAATAGGTATGCATCCCCAGTCTGTGAATACCTCTTCTGGCATTATACTGAATAGGTCTAGTCTTCCATTACCGGAAGCGGTACTAAGATTTTAGGTGGCTAGCATTGGTTAGGATGTTAATCGGATCATAAGATAAGTGAATGCTATAGAGATCTGAAAAGGACTCGGTAACTAGTCTGAACAACGAAATATCGTATAGAAATAGAACTTGACTTAGTTCAAGCAGCGGATTCTATTTCTCAAGTGCCACAATTGTATTGTATATAAAGAAGTATCTTCCGAACCATTGGCACAGTATCAATCCGACTAGTCTTTCTTCATTTTGAGAGCAAGAAGCGGAACTATATATTAGTTTCAATTAGAACAGTGGAATCACAAGTAGTTACTTATATTTTGACGATGGGATTCAGTTTCGGATTAACGCTACTCATTATTCTTCGTGCATTCCTCGATCCCTTTGGTGATGACCAGCTACCCAATCCGATTTATAGTACATTTTACGGGGAACTTGGTGAAGGAAGAAAGAGTAGAGCAGCGTCTCGCGGAAATGAATTGACCAGATCGATCGAATTGCACGATGCCGAGTTTGATCCTTGTCCACTACCTCTGATGAACGAAAGCGGTCCTTCTACACGAATTGCTCCTTGATAAAGTTCAACAACTTTTCATAACTGAATGCCAGGAAAAGTGAGTTCCAAGAATTACCTTCTATGTAAAAGACGATTTCCTCCTTCACTAGTAGAGTACTGGTACTCTATTTGAATTTGATTACTAGGCCATATCCCTACCCTAGTTCAAGAACCCGTTCAAAACGCGGGAAAAAGAAATGCCTAAAGGCCTAAGTCCCCACGTCAGTTTAAACTCCACTCCCTGGAGGATGAAACTTTATTCGGTTCTTTTGATATTGAGTCTGACTCTTATATAAATATAAACACCGATGATCCAGTACCAGACTTCGCCTTTTTGGCTACCCTTCCTCTATCAACAAACAGGAAAGGTATTTCTCTCTTGAAGAGAAAATCAAACTTGATGCTTTTATTAAGGTTTAGCTATCGATACGTGAACTCTTTGTGCTTGCTTAGCAGATGCCCTTTACATCTCCGCTTTGGGCTCAGTCACTAGTTTGCAGTAAAGAAAGAAGATGGTTCTAGTATAGACCATTACACCAAAAATATCCTCTCTCGATACGCTCTTGCGCTTCGCAGCACTTTTGCCAGTGAATATGGCTACGAAAAGTCAGAGAGGTCTATAGGGCCGTTTATCCCCGTTTTGTTGTTGTGCGGGGTTCCCCACGAATACTGGAAAAGTTCGCAGTTTTCCATTCGGTCTTACCTGATCGCCAAAGCAGAACAGTGCTTTCTAAAAAGCCTACCGTGGCTGATAGCAAAGTCAAGTGCGATCCGAAGCTAACTGATGGCGCCCTTACTCCGGGTAAGAAAAAGCAAAAGGAGTCGACTCTAAGATAATGAAAATCGTGGGAAAGACTTCGGTGAGAAGGGCCTCTAGTACAATGAAAACTTGGCATTTCAAGCTTCTTTTCTCATTCCTACAAGCTCGAATTAGAATATCGTATGATAAGAACATACTTCTCAGACTGATATCACCGAATTGGTAGTTTAAGAAAGTGTAACAGTAAATAAAGCCGGAAAGCAGGAATGTCCCAAAAGCGTCTTCATCCTTTCACAGGTTTTCAAAGCAGCGAGCCTTCACTGGGGAGATAGCGACCTCTTCAACTCAAAACCATTGAGAGTACAAGTAAGACACTAAACATAGAAGAAAGGGGCATGAGAGAAAAAGCATTTGTCCCTCCTAGCGTTCAAATAGGCCTGAAAGAGGGCCAGGGATGGAAGTGACTAGCCGGCTGGGAAATACTATGATGAGAATGGGAAAGCTGTACCCGCTACTCTACCTCTAAGGTTAATCCAATTCCTTGTAGTTGAGATTGCCCCTAATAGAGTAAATAGGTAATGGTGCGAAGCGATTAAAAGAGAGAATCATGCACCTCATAGGCACCAGACTCTTTCCTAATCTTTTTCAGATGCGCGTAGTGGAAAGGCCTGAGGTAAGTATTACTTTATCAAATCAAATCAATGAATAGCAGTTAGAATTAGGAGTCTTACCCCCGCTTCGATGTCGGGGAATCGATCAAAGTCTGGTTGAAGGGGCGGTAACTAGCCTTTGATGAGGAAGTAGGCGAAGTCAGGGTTTAAGCTCCAATGCTACACAAAGCTGAAATCCCTAACGAGGGAAAGGAGTGAAGGTCAAGCAAATGACTCGGCTTACCCTAACGGGCTTTGTAGTGATATCAAGTGAAGATATTTCTCTTTTCCACCAGCGGGCTTTGTAGTGGCAAACTGTAGCCCGAGGGTATCAAAATGCTACCCCAACTTCTTGTTATATGATTCAGATGAACAGCCAAAGGAAGCGAGAATCTCATTCTACTACGTCGTGAGCCGCTTGTTTTGATATTGATCATTCGGCCTGAGTTAGCATTTAATAGTTTAAAGGTCCCTTCCTATTGAAAGGGGCGGGCGGAGCATTATTAATAGATAGAAAAGAAAAGAAGCCGAAGAGAGTCGTTTACACTCAGTGAGTAGGAATTGGGGTCCTATTTCCCAGTAGCTTGAGTCGGGAAGCCCCCTTGGGACTAGATGAATGACTCCTACGACATTCCTAGGAACCTGAATTTCTATATTCCATGTGGCGCTTGACCAGCCGATCTAATGAGAAAAGGTTCGAAAGGCGCCGATGCATCGATTATAGAGCGGTATCGGAAAGAAGTCAGATTTTTCCTGGGACAAAGCAGTGCGCTCACTCACTGACTGCTTGTTGTCCTGATAGGGTAGCTTCTTCGCGGATTTCCCCTGCCCGAAGTGGATTGGCAATACCAATAAATCTCACCGAACAAACTCCTTGTCAAAGCCGTGAAGCCATGCGTCTTCGACTTTGACCCTATAGCGTTTGGGTGGTGGCCTACTAGCGTAGTAACAGAAAGGCATCGAGGGGGGGCACTGATACTTGTGTTCCATCACTAAGAAAGGGATTGTCGTTATCTAAGTTATTCCCATTGGCAGGAGGCACGCCAGCATCTCTACAAATTCGTCGAGGAGAGTTTTTCACTAAACTTGAAGGAAAAAAATATTGCCCGTAAAAGAAGAGAAAAGAGGCATTCTAAAGCTCCGGAAGGCCGACGACTATATCTATATGAGGGTGAAGAATGATAAAGACGAGAAAATTCCAAGACGAACCGTCACGGGGTGGAGAGTGTGTATTGACTACCGAAAGCTAAATGAAGCAACTCGGAAAGATCATTTCCCTCTCCCATTCGTAGACCAGATGTTGGAAAGGCTAGCAGGACATGAGTACTACTGCTTCTTGGATGGATACGAAGGCTATTTGAAAATACCCATGGCACCGGAAGACCAGGAAAAGACTACATTCACTTGCCCTTATGGGACTTTCGCATACAGGCGAATTCCCTTCGGTCTGTGCAATGCA